GGGTTGTGGCCATTTGATCTACTAGAAGTTAATGAGAAGGAAGTGCTAAGAGATACCTTTTCAGGTTAGTGAATAGAAGCCTAGGCAGTCATAACAACAAGTATTTACTAATTGACTATTAGGGATCAGTAATAGTGCAGTAATAGCAGTAACTAAGCCAGACACTGGTGATAAAAAGAAAGATAAAAACATTTTCCCAGCTCTCTAATGGGTGAGAAAACATGCAAACAACTATGTAAGCATAAGATATATACAGAGTGTTGTTCAGTCGTGTCTGTCCCATTTGGGGTTTTCTTGGCAAAAATACTGCCATTTCCTTCTTCAGCTCATTTTACAGATGATGAAACTGAGGCAAGGTTAAGTTACTTCCCCACAGTCACACAGCTAAGAAGTGTCTGAGGCTCGATTTGAACTCAGGAACGTGAGTCTTCCTGACTTCAAGTCCAGAACTCCATGTGCTACACCACCTAGCTGCCCGTACGTATACAGTAAATGGAAGGTAGTCTCAGTGGGAAGGAACTACCGAATTAGGGATGGGGAAAGACCTTCTGGGGAAAGTGGAATTTTTGAGCTGTCTTGGAGGAATTTAGGGAAAGAACTAGCAGTGGTGAAGGGGGAAGAGCATTCTAGACATGGGGCACAGCTAGTAAAAAGTCCCAGAGTTGGGAGATGGAATGTCATGTGGACAGCAAGGAACAGCAAGAAAGCCAGTGTTGCTGAATGGTAGAGTGTGGTTTTTGGGCAGGTAGGTGACACAGCGGATAGAATGCCAGGCCTGGAGTCAGCAAGACCTGAGTTCAGATCCAGTCATAGACACTTATTAGCTGCATGACCCTGGGCAAGCCACTTAACCCTGTTTGCCTCAGTTCCTTATCTGTAAAATGAGCTCGAGAAGGAAATGGCAAACCACAATAGTATCTTTGCCACAAAAACCCCCAAAATGGGGTCACGAACAGTCACACATGACTAAAACAACTGAACAGAGAATGCAGAGGGGAGAACAATGTAGGACGATTCAAATGGGAAGTTGGTGAAGGGCCAGACACAGGGATGAGGAACCTATGGCCCTCTAGGTCCTCAAGTGTGGCCCTTTGACTGAATCCAAACTTCACAGAACAAATCCCCTTAATCAAAGGATTTGATTAAAACTTGGACTCAGAACGCCACACCCGAGGACCTAGCAGGCCACACATAGCCTCGAGATCACAGCTTCCTCACCCTGGAGGATCTCATCTTTGATCCTGGAGGTGATAGGGAACCCATAAACTGGGTCCCCCCTACCTTTCCAGACATTATTTATTACTTCCCTTCATGCACTCTGCATTCAACTCAAACTGATCCCCTAGCTCTCCATCCTGTCCTCCAGCTTGTGATTAGGCTTACCTCTACCTCTACGAATCCCTAGCTTCCTTACAGGCTTGGTTTAGGCACCACATCTTAAAGAGATCCTTTCTCAATACCCCTCGGTGCTGGTGCTAGTGCTCTCTCTCTCTTCATATTATTCGGTATTTAATTATCTGTCACTCCCCACAGAAGAACATAAGCTCCATGAGGGCAGGGACTGTTTAATTTTTATATATTTCCCCAAGGATTAGCACGATGCTTGGCACATTGTAGGCACTTAGCAATATTTGTTCAGTTCAAAAATTCTGAGTCTCCCTCAGAGTTGCATACCCTTGCCTTAAATAGTCCCTCACTACTGTTTGCTTTTCTAATCAGAAGGTCCCCCCTCTTTCCTCAATGCTGATGTATCTTTCTGCTTTTCCCACTGGTCATCCTTGTCATCTAAGCTGCAAATAGCAAATAGACAGTGAATAGCCTCCTAATTGGCTTTCCTGCCTCAAGTCCTATCCTTTCACCAATCCCATCTTTCATAAAACCATCAAAAGTGTTTTTCTTAAAATGTAAGCAGGTTTGATCGTGTCACTACCATGCTAAAGAAACTTCAGTGGCTCTCTATTACCTCTAGGATAAAATATTATTTCATCTTTTTCCCATCATTTAAAAATACTTTTGTGGAAGTTTCATAATGTAAATAATTATTAGCAAAAGGCAGTATGGCAAAGTGGATAGAAAACTGGCCTTGGGGCCAGTAAGACCTTAGTTCTAGTGTAATCTCTGACTGATATGGATTATGCAATCCTTGGCAAGGCACCAAATTTCTCAGTACCCTAGGCAACTTGCTAAGGCAAGAAGTTGCAGAAAATAGAGTTCCCTATGTGAATGAAATCACAGATCTAGTCCCTATCCCCCATTCCTATAATTATTAGTATAGAATTATATTATACAATTCACAAATTAGTAAATAAACATAAGTTTTTCAAATTAAAAAAAATTACTGAAAGGTGTGCATGATTCAAAAAGTTTGGAGACCAATGTTGTAGTCAACAGAACCTTTAAGACTCTAGGGATCACCATTCCCTTCCACTACGGAGGTTAGAAGGATGGTGTAGAAATATTGCAATTTTCTCCCCCTGAAGTGTAGTTGGTTGAACTGAGAAAGAACACATTAGCTGCTCAGTTTTAATTAGTGGAGTTCCAGAATATGATAGACTTGACTTTGTCCTGCTCAACATCTGAACCCATGATTTGGAAGATAAAGCATTTTCTTACCACATTTGTATATGACACAAAGTTAGGAAGGAGCTAGTAAATGTGACAGATGAAAAAAATCAAGATCCAAAAGGGTCTTGATAGGCAGGATTGCTGTGCCTAAATCATGGATTATATTTTTTCCTCATAAATTTCAGTTCCCACATTTGTTTAAAAAATTATTTCCACACTGGTACACAATGTGGGAGACTTTGTTGTAATAAGAAGCAAAATAAATCCTCATGGTTTTATTCAACCACAAAATCAGTGTGATATAGCTACCAATGAAAACTATTTTAAATGTAACAAATAGAATCACGAAAAGTGATGGTCCCCAAGCTTGGGCCTGAGAGGAGAGTTAATCAAAAACATTTCCCTCTCTTTAGACTCACAGGTCCTATACATATGATATCAGTCAGACATGGCTAATTTTGCTGAACTTTTTTTCTTTTATTCTTTGTTACAAGGGATAGCTTGCTGGGTAGAAGACAGGAAGATATTTGAAGATGATGTAAAAATAAAATATATCAGTAAAATTTTTTTAAGTGATAGCTGCTTTGAAGGATGTACATATACTAAATTTGTATACAAATGCATGCAGACACATACATACAAATATGTGTATATGTATAGATATATTATGTGTGTATAACTATATTTGGAATACTATATGGTGAGGGGGTCTGGATACCATATCATATAAAGACTTCAAGGAAATGGAGATGTGTAGCCTGGAAACAATGACTAGTGAAACATGACAAGTGCCTTCTACTTCTGAAAAGCTGTCATACAGATGTACTTCAGAGGACAGAATTAGGACCCATAGGTAGAAATCATTGGGAGGCATATTTTGATCTCATTTCAGAAACATAATTAGAATTTGTCCAATTATAGGAGAAAACCTGTTCATAATTTTCAAACTAAAAAAAGATCTTATTACTGTGAAAATATTAGAAGAGAGGTAGGTTGATTATACTATTCATTTTAATATTCAAGACAGATGTTTAGAATGAAAATGTGAGTTGGAAAGGACCCTGGATGATTTAATCTTATCTCTAACTCAACACAGAAGACCCTTTTGCTACATCCCTAAAAGTCATCCAGCCTCACTGCATCTCTCCTGAAGAGTAAGCTATTTCCTGAGGCGGCTCATTTCATTGTTTGACCATACCCATTTTTAAACAGTTCATTCTTTCTTTGAACTAAAAAATTGCCACCCTGTAAATTCCACCTATTGTCTTAGTTCTATCTTTTTGAGACTCAAATCCAATTTTTTTCCTGAATTGAACTAACCTACCCCAACAGTAGAAGAATTTTTTTTTAATTTTGGAAGATAATATCATCTTCCATTAGTCCTCCTCAGTACTTTCAACTGATTCTTGTACAACATGGTTTCAAGGCCACCCCAACTACTTTGACTGCCTTCCAAAAGACTCTTTAGTTTGTCAATATTCCTATTCAAATATGGCATGCCAAACTGAAAATAACACTTAAGATGGGACCTGAAAAGCACAGCGTTAAAGTTGGGCCTTATCTAGATCTGTATTTCCCCCAGCCATAGCAGCTAGTCGAGCACCCTGCAGTATTGACACGAAGGAATGATGATCTTTGTGGGACAGGCAATAGTACATCTTATACAACATACAGAAATACCCATTTGCAGGGCTGTGTGGGAGCCAGCTCAAAATGGCTTAAGAGTCAATTGTTAAATTTTCAGTGTGAACACCTACACCTTAGAAATCAGCAAAATCAGCAAACACTACAAATCAGGGCTTGAATGTTTTGTTGTTTGTCTAGATTTAAAAAAGTGATGGAAAAAATGTTAATGATGTAGATTAAACTTAAAAGTGTGTCATAAGTACATTTTCCTCTCCAGAGAGCTGACTGTTAAACATATAATAGCACAATACCATCTACCATTATTATCATTTAACTGGAACTTTAATAGTCCTTCCAGTCCGACTAAATGCTTGTTTCTCATTTTACAAATGTGAAAACTGAGGTACAGGGAGGACAGGTGATTTGTCCAAGGTCATACAAGATCTTCAATGGCACAGCTAGGACTGGAAGCCAGGGGCCCTGTCTGGTCAATGCTTTCTAGTACACCATACTGCCCTTCTTCATTGAAATCTGGTGAATGAATAAAAGAAGTCCTGTAATCAGTTCCTAAAGTTTTATTTTTTAAGTAACTTTTGAGAATGCAACATAAATCTTCACAAACTTCAGTAACGTGTAGAGCAACTCCTAACCTATAGCAAAGAATTTCTTTTTCTTCCCAAGAAGTCTTTTAGACTGATAAAAAAGAAAAATCCCATGACAATCGTCTACTGCCATGTCATAGAATAGAGGCATGTCACAGAATTAGAATTAAACAAATATAATTAAATGAAAAGAAATACATGTCCTGCTTCATTGTTAAAACATTTTAATTTCAATTTTGCCTTTGTTATAAAACACAGAAAGCTCTATCATCCTATAACCAAGTATACAACTGATTACCAAGGCACCACATTTTCTCCCCAACAAAAAGGCACTTGTCAACATTCTAGATACAGAGCTGGTGAAGGTGCATTTTAAATTACTTAAGCTTAAATTACTTAAGCTTAACCAAAATGTTACTATAATATTAAACACCAAAAATATATGAAATTCAACTTTTTCATATAAAATGTTTTTAAACTAGCAAACTGTGTTTTTTGACACAGTAAAAACTGTGTGAGCCAAATGCTACCTATCACCAGAGCATCTATCCCCCGCAGACAAAAACAAGGTGTTTAATGGGGCAGCTAGGACGCATTTCCTCATTTTATGTTTAGATACCAGAAAGGGGGAACATGATTTCCAAGAGCAGCCATTTCCTAAGAGGAAATGTTTCCCACCCACATTCACTACATGATTTGAAACTTTTCCCCCCAATAAAACTGTACATGCCAAACAAAGGCTCAGTTGAAATCCTGTTGAATCTTAAACCTCATATGCTGCCAGTTTTGCACTGGAAATGTTAAAGAATTAGTAGCCACATATTACAAAATTATATCAGTTAAGGTATTATAAGCTTTCCATTCTCCATAAATGTAACACTGAGGTACTGAAAACAGTTCTGTGCACAGATATGCTAGAGAATATAACATAAATTATCTTTACACTATATTTAAAATGTTTCCCAAGTGCCATCAAATTACTCTGGTTACTTACAATAAATTATTCAGTTTTAACAAATTAAAATGTTGATAAACACAATCATTTCAATTATATAACTGCACTATTTCTGAACCACAGCAAAAACTGTCCAACCTCCAAAAAACTCCTCTTCCCTCGCCAGTAAGGTAAAATGGCAATGTTTACTTTTCTGATGTGAAACACGCTTCAGAATCTGAGCGTAACACATTCTATACTGCACGTGGCTTAATGGATAAGTACTAGTCTCTTGTGCCAACAATGTCTGCCAGTTTCTTTAATCTCAATTCTCTTCCTTTCCTCTCTAAAGTGCACAGAGTTGGGGAGGGCGAAGGTGGGGATATTTGTTTTCATTATCCAAAGTATTTACTGAAGAGTTTACACTTTTCAAATTTATTTGGTAGAAAACCATACCAGATATGCATCTTGAATGTAGTGTTGTTTTTTTTTTTCCCCCTCAGGGCTGTTCAGAAACTTCACCTATGAAATGTAATCTAAAGGTTCTTTGGTTAATTTGTGAATGAAAAGATTAAAAAATCATGCATACTCTATTTCGATAACAATGAAAATAATGAAAACCCCTGTGAAGTGGTTCTTGTGCATAAAATGCTGCTATCTTAAAAAATAATTATGGAGGCTGTCCTTCCCTGAGTACATATGCTTCTCCAAAGTCCCTATGCGCGTATGCTGCTTTCTCCTGAGAACTCCATTATTCCAGCAAACCTCTGGCCTCAACAAATCAGGTTAAGTGTCCCATTCTGTGTTATTCTGCTCACCACCGTCATCCTCCTCAGAGTCAGCAGACACTCTCTTAATTCTCTGGAGAGCTGCCTTGATGCTTCTCTCCAGCTCATTGGGTGACTCTTTGTTGACGTCTGTGACAGGTTCTAGATGAACCTTCTTCAATTTAACCCCTTGCTTTATAGCAGCCAGAATGCTATCTCGGACTGAAGCTCCTGGAGTGGGCAGAGCAGGCTTCTCTACCTTGTGGAGAAGCATTTCACCGTGCTTTAAAGAAGCCAAAACTTTATCCATAGTTCCTGCAGCAGATTAAAAACAGTAATAGTTATTATAAAGGCAAAAAGCTTGCCCAAAGCTGGTTTAGATGCAGTATTCTTGTTTACGTTATTTAGACAGAAGTATGTTTACATGTAAAATGATTCAAGGGTCAGCCAACAATCCACAATAAGTTAATGGTGGTAATGTCGCAGCTCCCCCTGCAGATCTCTTAGAAATGACCCTCCACCTTACAGCTAACTCATCTAATTCAAACCCATGAGCAATACAGAACAGATGCAGATATAATGGTAGCAGCATTATTATTTTCTTAGACAAAGTAATTTAGCTCATTCACTAGAAGTGCTTACTTTCTTTTAATGTGTATAAACTTTATATTAGGCTTCTTATGAGTACCAAAAAAAAGGTTAAAGTCACCCCAAAAGAAGAGCCACAGCAGGCTGAGGCATAACTAAACCATTAAACTGTAAACCTTGTCTCCAATGCAATGGAACTCTAACAACTCTGGCTCTTCTTTTTCTAATCTACACATGTTTCATATAAGTGGAAATATTCTTATTTTTATTTTTTCAACAAGCCCTGAAAAATAAAGATAGATAATAGAAAAAATAGATTAAAAAAGATAAAATAGAAAAAGATAAAATTCTCTGTGGTTCCATTTATATAGTATGCCTTGTATTCTATTTCCAGTTCACAAAGCTGTACTTCTCTAAGCTAAAATCTTAGGCACAAACTCAGTTTTACTCTGCAAGTCTGAAGTCAGTTGATCTCTACAAGTGAAAAGATCCACAATAAAACTTCCAATGAGCAGCTCAGTTATGGAAGGTCCATTTTCTAGGTCTGGCACAATGTAGACACAGCAGGACTGGTACCCCCACTGCATTTCGGTGAGTACCCACTTATGCTACACTTGAGGAATTACAAGTGTAGCAACAAATTATAGACCAGGGGTGGGGAGCCTGAGGCCTGGAGGGCACATGTGGCCTTCTAGGTCCTCGGGTGCAGCCCTCTGAGTGAGTCCAACTTTTACAGATCCTTTTGTTAAGAGGATCTGTTCGGTGAAGTTTGGACTCAGTCAAAGGGTTGCACTTGAGGACCTACAGGGACACATATGGCCTCAAGGCCTCAGGCTCCCCACCCCTGCTATAGATTAAGCTGGGGCCCCCACCTTTTGTGCAAAGGGGCTACTGGAGCTGCTATTCATTTCCCTAAAATCATTAGGAAGGTCATTATGAAAAGATGGGGGGGTGGAGAGAAAGGTGGTAACAACAGTATGTCTGAACAGAGAGAAAGCTTTGCTGGCAACTCTGGTAAACTGTTTATATTTATGGGCTGATGTGTTTTGGTGGGGAGAGGAAGGTGGTGGTGGCAGCATTGGGCTTAGAACTTAATCAGGTAAAGCTTCTAAGTCCAGGTCTACTGGTTGGTAACTCTTGAGATTTGCTACGACTAGCTAAACATGATTTTACTTTGGATTTAAACTTGTAAACTGAATTCACAGTTTGGTTCTGGGAATGAAAAGATTTCATAGTCAAGGTCCAATTATTTCAGTGATTGTTTCTCACCCCTGTGATCTAATTTTCTTTCGGTATAATATGTAGAAACTTTGTGTTCTAAGGCCAAATTGCTACTGCTATATAAAGATCTGTATATACTGTAAACTTTTAGGCACTTTTGCTTTCTTTCATCACTTACAAGAATAAGGCCATGCAAACATACAATTTAGTTTCACAATAATAGTTCTGAGATTTTACATGGCACATAATAATGTAAAACATAGCTACAATAAAGCCTTTGATAACCTCGAATCTAGATAACAAAAATCAAGGGCAGGGAATACTTTTGTATTAACGCAGGGCCTTGCCTATAGGTAACAGTCAATAAATGCTTGATGAATAAATACAAAATGACAAGAAAACAAACTTGGTTCACTTCAGCAAGTTATCTGTCAGGTACTCATAATATGCTCAGCACATTAGAATATAAACATTGTTAAAACACTTCTGCAATTGCTAGGGTTTATCCTAATGGTCTAAAACTACAGCTATTATGAAAATGTATTCAGAATGAAATTATTCTACTGATGATCAAGATCCTCACCTTAATAAAGAACAACTTGATTATGATCCCTTTGTATTTTTACTAAGGCAGGAAAGTGTACCTATCTATTTTAGAAAAACTTTTCTATAACAAAAGTTGAAATAAAAAGGATGTTCTACTTATCCCTCAGTTAAATTAGCCAAAACCAGGAGTTTTATGACAATATTTTCCAAAGTAAAACATAATGATTTTCCTTTAGAAAGGTAAGAACTAAATTCTCCTTACAAATAGCAAAAGTTGTGGAATCACAATATTGTAACTAACTGACACAAGCTCATACCAAATAATAAACAGCTCCTCAAGATCATAAATCAGTACACTCTCAAGTGTAAGAAACTGGTAGTAAAGTCGGATTCATTAACACCGTAAATGATTTGGAATCATTTAATTCTTCAAAGTGGTCATGTTTATCAATAACTATCTTAATAGAAGACAGCCTTGTCAATATAATCTATCAAACTCAATACTGAAGGGCTGCATGATTTAAAAAAAATCATTAACAGGGTTATCTAAGACAGAAATGACTGGAATATTTTCGGATCGGAATGAATTCAGGGCCCTGTTCTAAACTGGGGATACAGTGACAATTCCAGATTCCCGAAATAGGAAACAGAAGTTGAAATTATCATAGCAAGAGACAGAAATTCCAAATATTTACCTGTACAGAGGTTTAAAGAACTTTTAGAGGAATCATATAATCTTTCAGCAGTTGATTCACAGACCAGGGGAAGTGGCTGATTATCATCCTTCCCAGGTGTCATCAAGTGTGGAGGCAGAGGGAATGAAAGGGGTGAGGAAGAAGGAAGAGGTGGTGGTGGAGGTGGAGGTGGAGGTGGAGGTGGTGGGGGAGAAGGAGGAGGAAGAAGAGGTGGTGCTGGTGGTGACATCAGTTCTTTGCTGGGTTCTGGATGTGGTGGGTCTCCAAATGGAACCAAAATCTGAATAGAGGTATTTCCAGGACTGTCTTTATATTTAGATGTTTTCAAACCTCTGACTCTGGATGAAGGAGTGTTTCTTGTTTGCTTAGGAGATAAATGGACTATTGACAGTGGTTGAGAAGCTGGTGATGAGATTTTCAGGGAAACATCTTTGGGCACTTTTGGACTAAATGGTTTTGAACAAGATGTTTTAAGCACAAACTGAACTGGACGTTTCTAAAAAAGAAAAGAGTTACGTTAAAAATTTGCTACAAATGCCAACAAAATTTAACACAAAAAACAACAATAATTCCCATTTATATAGCACTTTAAAGTTTACAAAGGGCTTTCCTCCCATCAACCTGACAGCGATAGCTGAAGTATTATTAACCCCACTTTACAGAAATCAAATACTTTGCCCAACGTTAGCAGGGCAAAAGGGTTGGGTTCAGATTATTCCAGTTTACAAAACCAATCCTCTACTAGAAATAAACCATCCTTGGGAACTTATAGTCTACTCTCTGATAAAATAACTTATAGTTATACGGCACTTTCTTCTCAACCTCCCTGTAATATACGTAGTAAGGCAGTTTTCTCCTGGTTTTCTAGGAGACATGTTCTAGGACTGAAGCCCCTTGTCGCGGGTCAAATAGGTGCCAAGTCAAAAACTGAGCACCAGGACTCAGATCCCCACATGACAAGCTCCCTTAGCTCCCTCAAGATGACACTAAAACTTACAAAGAACTTAGTAGGAGAATTTGGAGAATGGCTGATAACTTTTTTAATATTCATTAATTCATTTGTTCTAAGCAATTACCTCAGACTACAAAGCCCACATTGTAGATGCAACTCAAGAAAAGCATTTATCTAACAGAAAGGGAAAACAAGTCCAAAACACATGTGGAGTGGTTAACTCATAAAGAATCAGTAATGCAGAGCTACAAGGCCTCCACGATGAGAAAAAGGTCTTAAAAATCACAGAGGTTTCAAACAGAAATAAATTACGAAAATAAACTGATTCTATCTGGTTACATACTAAAGATTGTTGGTATCTCCTGGTACCTTGCAATATATCTCAGTACTGGCCAGTAAGCAATTTATCTTGATCAACAGCTAATGCTTTAAGTTGGAGCCCTACTTAAATCAGCTACAGTATTAAAGCCTTTTAATTCTACTTTACTTATACATCTGATACTTAATATTCTGTTTCTTCAACAGAAATAATGGTTTTTCAGAACATCCTTTTGACCCCATGGCTTTTCTTTTTAAAATTTGTGTCAAATTTAATTTCAACAACTCTCAAATTTATCCCTAAGTAATTCTCACAAACTGGTACTGAAAAAAATTCTTATAACGCAGCAGACACTTTACCTGTTTATTAGATAGCTCCTTGTAATGTAAAAATCCATAGTTTTGAAATAGTAAAAGTATTATAGTTGGGGACATATGAAGCATAAATATCTTAGTAGTCATCTAATTTTAGAAGGCTTGTTTTTTGCCTTCCTAAAATAAGTCCTTAATAGTTATGAGAAATTCAGAATTTGTTTGCTTGAATCAGATGAAATGCTCTTCAAATTAAAAAAATAATAAATTATGAAAACCCAACCTTTATCTAGGAATGTCAATCTAGACTAAGGTCTAGATAGATATGAAATCCAACTAAATCTAAGAAACATACAAAAATATCCATACTTGTCATGTACCAAAATTTTAACTTTTTTTTTCAGCTAAACAATTCCATATGATAAACACTGAAAAGTGATAAATACATGAGAATAGTATTTCTTTAAAAACTTCAATCTGCAAGTCTTTTACAATAGGTGATTTTCCATCATTATTTTAATTTAGAGGTTTAATTTACTTTAAGGTGTTTCCTGGTCTGTTTTATTCTTCCTGACAGATTCTAGTCTTCCAGATACTTCTTAAATGAAGATTCACTCCTCATTCTTGAATCCTGCTTTTCTCCTTTACTGTATGGTTTCTTCTGTCTCTCCTTTTCTCTTAAAAAACTGCATTCTCTACTTCTGCTCCTATCCAGACTCCGCTTTCACGTTCTGAGTGGCACTTGGGCCCTGGAGCAGAGAGCCGGTGACCAGCAGCAAGGAGCTGGGGAGCAGTGAGCCCAGCATCCTCCAGGGACACAGTGTTGAATGGAGTGAGTGTGGAGGTGGAAGTGGGAGGAAAGGAGGGAAGGAGAGAGGGAGTATGGCTTTTATTTTCTACACTTAGATCACTGATTATAATTGTAGTAGAAGAAGTAAGACTATAAGCTGCCATTTCTCATCTCTATATCTCTAGCACAGAGTAGGCCCTTAAATGTTTGCTGAATTGAATTTAGACTATTTATCTTTCCCTCACAAAAACTTTTCTGAAATATAAATGAGATAATTATTTCAAGTATTTACCTCTTTAAATGATTTTAGGCGTTGAAGTGTTTTCTGTCGTTCTTGGTTTATCCACTCTTGTTTTTCCTTCTCGTCTTCTTTTCTCTTGTTTCTTTTCTGTATTTAAAAAACATACACATTCATAATCTTTAAAATGCTTACCTCCATCATGAAAAACAAAGGTGTCTAAATCTCCTAATCTGTATCATTCCTTCCATTCCACCGGACACATGTTCAGAGCACTAGCCATGGAAGAAAACTGAAGGTTCCATTTTCTTTGTTTCAATGCTATGCTAGTGTGCAGTAGCAAATTGATTAGGCAATTTTCTTTAGCTACTCACCATCTGAATATTATGATGCTGATAAAATTGCTTTATGTCTTCCTGTGCCTGCTGCAATTTGCGATGATGACTTTCCTTGCACTGATCCTGTCATAATAAAACAAATACAAAACTCAATTTGACTCTTATTTCTGTGGGCCATGTTTTAAAAAGTAGGTTAAAAAGGATTCTAGTTTATAGGCTGCTGTTCAAGACCCTCAACCTGCATGAGTTTCCATTAGAGCTCAACAGTGCCTCTTTCAACACAATGTTGCCCAGTACTTTGAGAAATGAAAAAAGAGATTCTCCACCAAAACGCATATGAGATTTATTGGGCAATTCCCCAGACCGGAAGTAGGCTGTGTTCCAAAGGGGCTAAAAGTGGTGGTAAAATACACAGGGCAGCTGGCAAGCCTAACAAAAAGCTGTAAACAAAATTTATGCCTGATAATTGGGGAATGGACTATTACTTTGTCCCAAGAAATGACTGAAGAACACAGAGCCAAATGAATAATAATATAAAAATATAAATAAAATAAACACTGAGGAGCAACAAAACTCTGGTCAAATACAATGCTCAATGTTAGTGCCATACTATCCAGGATACAGCTATCTCTACAGATTATATTGATATACCTGTGTGTTGTGGTTTGGGGGAGGAGGTCAGAGTCAGAGACTGTCCACCCAGGGATGCCAAAAACTGTTGTGGTTTCATGGTGTATTATGGTGGACCGTCTCAAAAAATTCAGAGTCAGACCACCTCTTATCCAAGTACAGGTATTTAGTGAGATTAATGCCTGTCATGAAGTAGGCTAAGTTCCAAGAGGAACCAGCAGCTTTAGTAAAAGCAAGACAGCCTTTTATAGGGTAAAGATGCAATTACATAACAGAAATTATGAATATTTGAAAGGCAGGAGGGATCTATTAAGGGATTAGGTGATAGGGGAGGGGTCCCAGCCTCAGTGGAACCAGGCATGCGATTCCCCATAATGCATACAGAAAAACCCATTTGAGGGGTTATGTATGTGTGATAATGATATTATAACAAGCCTGTCCATATCATAAGCTCACCTAAAGGACAGCTTTTGCTATTACTGTGCAGGTGCCTACTTAGGAAAAGTCCCTTCTATTGTTTTGGGGTCCACATCCTGCTTGGGCATCCTGGTGGTGCTTTCTGAATGGCTGAGTATGTGGTCCTATCTGAGACGAGACGGATGTGGCTGTGGTTGAGTGTATGGACATACCTGCTGCTTCTGTGGGAAATATGAGGAATGGGTCTGGGGGCAGTAACTGGGATCCCATCACATGGACACCCCTGCTGTTTCTGTGAGAAATATGAATTCATGGACACACCTGTTGTTCTAGTGAGCAGTAAGGCATATATGAAGAAGTCAGGATATTGAATTGAACTGGGGGTGGGGGGGCAGTGGCTAGTTAGGGGCAGTGGGCTGGCTGTTCAGTGGGGCCCACAAGGAAGTTAGAATATTGGGGCTGGGGGCAGCTTTATTCGGATTCCATCGTGTGTATATATATTTCTATGTGCTTGTACACACACATCCATATATACCTTCTTTTCTGTTAATAATCAATAATCTGATTTTCCCCCTGGAAATGTACTTTGTAAATGGGTTTGTTTGGAAATATTTCTTGTGCCAAAACAACATGTATCAATAATTTAAGTCCATTTTACTAATAACATACCTGAAGTACAGTATTAATAATATGAATAAATGCAAAAGATATTTTATGTAGCCTTATATATGACCTTGAATTTATCAAGTTATCATTCAACTACATCTGACCACCATTTAAAATACTGTCTTGAAGGATATGTTCTAAAATTCAACCTCATATGTTAGAAACACTTTCCCTCTCTTGGGAGGCTGTCAGAGAAGGTTAGAGCAGATGTTCCTGATCACCAATAACTTCTAACCATTGAAGCCTGGACCTCTTTACAATTCTCCATCTTTTTCAACCTCAAAAATTCTATAAATTGTATCAGAGAAGGCACCTGTTGGAAAGGTAGTTCCTAAATACAGGAACTATGACTCTGGAAAGTGCATTATTATTATTTAAATTCTCCTTATCCACTTGTGTCATGCTATGCTCATTTAGAGTGGGATAACTCAAGAGGGCAGCTGCTGGTGCAGTGGACAGGCTGCCCAACCTGGAGTCAGGAAGACCCACCTTCCTCAGTTCAAATCTGGCCTCAGACATTTATTAGCTGTGTGACAGTGGGCAAGTCACTTAACCCTGTCCGTCTCAGTTCCTCATCTGTAAAATGAACTGGAGAAGAAAATGGCAAATCATTCCAGTATCTTTGCCCAAAAAAACCCAAATGGGAATAAAAAGAGTCGGACATGACTTAACAACAACTCAATACCTAACAAACATGATTAAGCTTACTAAGTCATAACCCGACCCACTTGAGCACACCCAAAGTCCACTGGAAACAGCCTGGAGTGGTTGTTTTTCTTGTCATTAGAGTGAGACAATTCTTTAAGTATTTTAAGCTTCATATGTATAAAGATATTTTAAAGAAAAAAAAAACCTCACTGACATTAGGAAAATGAAACTTAATTTTAAAGACAGATGAGATGAAGAATGTTATTTCAATAATATATATTTTAAAGTAACAATTTTTTTTACAATAGCTAATTAAAAAACCAGTAAAGTACACTTGTAAGCATTCCCTACAGGTATTCTCAGCAATAAAGTCAATTTTTCTTAAAATTGCAAGATATTATAAATAAATTGTGGTGAATTCCTATTATAGTAATTGGTATTTTTTTTTAACCAATACTAATTCACTAAGGAACCTGAAAGAAGAGCTCATAAGAAGAAACTTAAACACGTATTTAGTAACTGGAAATACGACATCATTACATACATTCCTCTATAGTTACTATCTTCCTAAAAACTTAAGTTTTCAATGCTTTTTTATCCACCAATAAGAGGAAATCACAGGAAAGGAAGAGAAAAAGATTCCACAAACGCATTTATTACTTTTTTGTTCCTGAGATAGGCTCTTCTTGCACAAATGGCCCCTCGCTTGGACTCTAGCTGCTGAGATTGCCGCTTGAGTGTCTTCATTTCTGAAATCTGGGAATTCTGTTGTCCCACTAGATAATCAACAACTTTAAGTTCCTCAGGATTTTCACATGTATCATAATACACAACTTCATCCTGTTTTTCTAGAAATAGGAACCATGAATAAGAACCAGTTTTAAAATTAAGTCCTCAATTCATAAAAGAATCTGGATGAGGAATTTTAAACATGCATTTGGTAATTAACACATATAAACACTAAAATAACTTAGTATTTTTTAAAATCAAGAAAACTATTTTTGTCCAAACCTACGATTTCTTCCCTTCCCCTCCCCAGCCCCCAATACGGTTAACAATTTGTCTGTAACTTACAACTTTACAAAGCTGTCTGATGTATTGGAAGCTCAAGTGACCGGCACAAGGTCACACAGTTATTCTGGGTGAGGCAAGATCTGAACCCACGTCTTCCTGACTTCAAGGTTCAACCCACATGCTACCTTTTGAAGAACATTTCTTACATGCTAAATATCTAAAATGTTTAAAACTTAAGTTTTAAAAGTTAGTTTAACATTTTTAATGTGAAGTACATAATGAGTAGGAAATGTATTACATTTAACATTGTCTCTAGCTACTGGATACTGCACATAATTTGTTCTCTCCACACATACACCTTACCTTTTATGAGTCGTCTTACAGTGTCTAGCTCTGTAATAAGCAGCATCTCTTCAAACTTCAATATTTCAAGCTGAACTTCATACAACTCAAGTTGAACTTCATAATACTGCATTTCTAATTCATCGACCACATCAATATTTTTCTCTACTTCAGAAAGACCTTCTACCTTATTAATAAAAAAAGAACATAATGTCAATAAAAACAATACATTACAAAAAGTATGTTTACAGATTTTCCCAATTATTTTTTGACAAGCAATAGATACATGCAGACATGGAGAAAAATATTACTGTAACTTGCCTATTTAATGTGACACAGGTGCTAGCATATTGTGACCAATTCAAGCCCATTTACAAGAGGCCATCTTTAGCTTTTCCTCATAAACTGTTAAACATTTGTCTTAAAAAACTGATGGAAAGGAACAATGTATTATAGTAGTAATTTCCTATTTAAAGTCATAGGAGCCTAGGAAAAGTTTTACGGTCATGACACTGTAACGAGTAAATTAACAACAAACTATTCCAGTGCACTGTTAAATAAATTACAATCTCCAAATAATAAAAAGTGTGCTAGTGCCCTGAAAGCATTAATTCATTGCCCAAAGTAGCTTACCTACTTTTGTAATGAGTTTTAACATTATTACAAAGGGAATCACATACCACAAATGGGTTAAATGCTGATTTTGCTGTCTCTTACTTTATGGAAAAAAACCTAGAATAGCATCAAGTTGCTCTCTAGTGATTTTATATTTGCTTATTCCATACTATCCTCAAAAATGTTTTGAGCTCCTAGGAAAAAAAGGTGCTACAAATATTGTAGGGACAGTGCTATTAGATAAAAATCACATTTGTTTTCACCTTACCTTCTTTTGAATTTCAATTCTTTTTCGATTCAAGCATAGTTCTTTGGCTCTCCTGTGTTGCAGAGTTTCTCTTGCTAACATGTACTTCAGTTTTTCAAGTCTGGGGGCAGCTAAGGCCCAGGTGGCTTGGCCAAATCCTTCTTCATCCTGCTCCATCTGTTTTCGCATTACTATTGCATTAAAATTTAAAAGATAAATGACACTCACAAGAAATCAGGGGTTTGTGTAACAATTAAAAAACAGGCCCCACCCTCCACTTTTTGCCCATTGCCCGTACTTATCTTTCCCATTAAGTACTATGCACAATGGGTAATAAATCACAATGATGCTCTTGTTCCTGTTCACACTCTTAAAAAAACAGAAAGAGGGAAGAAAGAAGAGTTGTTCTTTCTATACATATCAGATCCCTCTCAATACTTCTTCTTTTGAAAGAAGAAGGATCAAAAAATCTTTTGAAAAGATTTTTGTGTGTTGCATACAGTACCCATCTTATAATAATTGCTAAATGCAAACATTAAGGGATGAATCGGTTAAATAACCCACTTTGAAAACATGTGCTGCTTTATTACTTAACTAGTTTCAGTGTGCTGATAAATTCTGTCAATGGCAATTTTCAGTAACAAATATGACAAAAAGCAATTTTAAAATCAATTTCACCTGAAATGTTTTTAAGAGTAACCTCCTGTCATACCAATGAAAGCCAAATTCGGTTACTTAAAAACCCACATTACTCATTTTTAAAAAAGAATTCTGCTTTCTAGCCTTATCTGGTACATTTAATTTTGTTTTCATTTAACCAAAATTAGGCAATCTGGTTGTAGTTTAATGGTTTGACCATTGTTTAATCCTATTTGCTTGAACATCTGCAACAGTGAATCCTGCAGAGCTTAAAGAAACAACTTCACTCTTGTAATGAATTTTTGGATGGTACAGGTGTACGTACGGGGGAAAGGGTATAAGCAAGCCAAGCAAAGCTGGCAGTCAGTAGTAAGCCCTCCCCTTATAATCTCCTACAAGGTGGATTGCAGCTTTGAAAATATTTGTATAAGGTCAAGTGGCTCACCCATACCCAACTACTGTCCTGATTCAGTAAGAGCATGGAAAGTCATACGTAGTTCGAAGAAAGCTATTCCTTTAAAAATAAAAAAGTTGATTTCTACAATTTTACAGATATCTAATACTGAAACAGATGTCTACATGACATTTCTACTGTTAGAAAATGAGACTGTTAGGAAGAACACCAAAATTCTGCTTCTGATAGTTTTTAACTCCAATGACACTGGAAGAAATGAAATCCATACATTGTTGTTCATTTGGGGGTAGGGGGAAGGAGGCTGAGAAGTCTATGCTCTAGCACAATATTCTCTGATGCTTACTGGCCAATGCATTTACTGTTTCCTTAAAATAATTCACAGTGATGTCTTGAATAGATGTCACAGCTTCTTCAGCCTGTCTGGTCCATTCTTTGGCCTCTTTCTGCAATGCCTCTATTCTCTTAGGGCCCAATTCATCAAACTCCAAGGACTTCTATAGACAGAATGAAAGAACGACTTCAGCTCAATAGTGGATAATGGCAATGTGGATGCCAAGTGTTTTGCAGGATTCGAAATACCTTTGCCCCTCATCTAAAGGAGGCAGCAGGAATTATTTTAGCTACTTATTATTACTTTTCTCCTTAAAGTTTTGGCTTCTCTCCTAGTATGGAAATAATAACACCCTAAAATTTGTATACTACCTACTTGGGAGGAAAAGCACGAAGTCATTTTTGTTCTTTTTTATGAACAAAGAATTATGCTTTCTTTATGTACAAAAACACAGTATTTACAGAGAGAGAATTCTGAAAAGGCAACATTGTTGGTGAGTGTTTTATGGCTATGAAAAAGAGCTCTTCTGTGCACAATTCTATAGTTCTCTTTTAGAACTGTAGAACATGTGTGTAAATTCCTCAACTAATTAAATTTAATGGCACTAATTTCATACTTAAGTTAATTTATATTGAAATAGCAATTCTAATTGTAGCCTAGCTTTAAAATCTTTTTCTATAAAGTACAATTTACCAATAAAAAGAACACTATAAAAGGAGGAAAAAGTAGAACAAATTCATTAAAAAAAAACAGTATAATACAAAAACTACAAATGAAAAGGAGACTTATTTTGTAAAATAAGCCAGAGTAGCATGCATTTATATATTTGTTTAGCACTGAGATACAGAACACTTTTTAAAAATACCAAAATATGGCTGGTTTTTAATGTGTATTGTTAGGTGGGGGAAGAGAGTGGTATGGTGGACGGTACAATGAACCAAGAGTCAAGAAACTAGGGTTCTTGACCTCTGCCACTAATCTGCTTTTGAACTAAGATAAGGGATAACACCTCTGTACAACACCTCTGTATTTCATTTGTGAAATGAAAGCAATACTTGCAAAATTGCTGCAGGGCTCAAATGAGAAAATAGTATAAAGCACTTTGAAAAGCATAAAACATTATAAAAATAGATTATCATTACTTAATTTCCATTCCCTTCCCAGACCAGTATATACTACTAAAACATTTCTGTATGGGTAACTAAAGTAATTTGCCAATGTAATATATTATTATTAATTTAAATGCAGTTGGTGAAATGTTGCTTTGCAAACACTACAATACACATAAGAAGAATAAGAAAGAAAACATACTGAAATTTCTAGCTTGTATAATGTTGCAAGCTCTCGCATATCCCTGAATGGCTGCAGCAAATATTGGTAGAAGTTTGTTGCCACAGTAACTAATTCCTGGTAAGCTTCATCTTCTTCTTCATAAACTTTCATTAAATCTATCATCTTGTCAGCATTTTTATGCCTGTGAATAATCTAAAAGATAAAAAGGATTTTAAAGGTTAGCTACAGGAGGTTTTTGAAATGTACAGAATAGAAGGACCATGACTATTGTATTCAGTACAAATTTTATGTGTTTACTGATTTTTCCCAAACCATGATTCTCCTGATTTAGAGTTAGGTCCTCTAAATATAAAGCCAGTTATTTTTTCCACTGTAACACACTGATTCTCATAAAAATGTCTGATATAATAAAACTTTTATATATGCTTAATTTTGAAAGTATAACCAAAATTGGATGAATTAACCACCATTTTAAAAAAAAGTAAAATTTGGTTAAATTCCCCTTCCAAATCTCTCACTCCCTGAAATTTGCCACAAAATATAAAATTAGAAATTATACACTAAGGTTAAACTATTTAGCCTAGTATTTAGTCTTTTATAGTGAAAATGTAAAAAGTCATGTTTGAAGATGGGAATATGCCCCAAACATCCCCACCTTCCATCTGTGAAGTGAGGGAAGAGGGAAAGACCAGGTAACCTCCGGGGCCTTCCCAGCTTTAAACTTTATCATCTTAGAGTAAGAGTTTTAACCTGGGGTCCATGAACTTTTTTTTTTTCCTAAAAAATTTGGTAACTATACTTCAAAACTGGTTTTCTTTTTAATCCCATGTATTTATTTTATGCATTTAAAAAGACTGTTCCGAGTTCACTGGCTTCACCAGCCCGCCAAAGGTGTTTGTGGAAAAAAAAAAAAAAGGTTAAAAGATCTCTGTCTTGAGAGATTCATACCTGTTACATATTATCCACAATTTTCTCAAAACCCGTCTATAATGTATTTTAGTCCAAAACTATGACTTTCAACAGAATTTCTTAAATTCTAGTATTCTGAAAGGTGAAAGGACTAGCTGATGAACAATTTCAGATTTACCCTTGATATAGCCTTCATTACTTCAAAAGATTTGATTCCATTCCTCCCCATCTTCATAACTCCAAAAATAAAGAATCCTAATCTTAGTTTGCCCTCATGTGGATATCCATTCTAGTAATCCTTGCATCTCCTTCTCACTCCACATATCCAATTAGTTGCCAAGTCTGGTTGAGTCTACTTCCAATCATTACTTTTACTCCATTCACAAAGGGCCACCATCTTAACTCAGACCCTAATCATTTTCCAATCTCTCCTCCCAACATTCACTCATCTGCCAAGATAATCTTTCTAAGGCACAAGCCTACCCATGTCCCCTTCACAAAAACCTTCTCTTTATTTCCTCTAGAATAAAATGCAAATTCCTCACCTTGGCATTTAAAACCCTTCATAATGTAGACATACCTTACACTTCCTATTTTATTTCACATTACTCTCAGAAACTGCAAAACAGACTGCAGCTAAACCAAACTATTAGCTATTCCTTAAACTCATATTCTGCTCACACATTTTCATAAATCATCCTTCATACCTGGAACACATTGCTTCATCTTGGCTTGCCAATACCCTTACTTCCCTTCAAGACTTAGCTTAGGTGCTATCAACAAAGAGCCTTACCATCCAGTTGATGCCTTGCTTTTACTTAACCGAGAACACGTATAAATTCTTACCTTCTCTTCAGCACAACCTAAGCTCCTTGAAGGCAGTTACAGATTCACTGTCTTCCTATTCCCAAGGCCTGCACACAGCAAGGGCTTAACAACTGCTACCTGAATTGTTGAATTACTGTCATTCTTGACATAATAATCAACAGTACCTTGTAAAGTTTTCAGGTAACTGAAAAACTGTATGACAACCAAAAGCTCCCTTTCCTGGGTTTTGACTTAAACATAGGATAAGCCATGAGGTATTTGAATTCTGCTCCTGAAAACTCCTTGTATTTGTCCACAATAAAGCTCATTCACCATTTTTTTTTGCCCTTTCACTGTCTTATGAAACCCTCCTATAGCATTTTCCGTGTCTGTTCACTACCTATAGACTGATTTCAGCTTTTACTTCTATTTTCACATGCTCGGCCAAAGAGATTGTGTCTTCTGCCTTCTATAGTTCAAAGGATCAGATTTAAGGCTGGAAGGAACCTCAAAATCTATAGTCCAGGATTTAACCTGGGATCTGCGAATTAAAAAAAAATTATTTTGATAACTGTATTTCCACATAAATTGGTTTCCTTTGTAATCCTATGTACTTTATTATGCACTTAAAAACATTCTGAGAAGGGGTTTATATAGTCTTCGTTACAGTGCCATGGGCAGCTAGGTGGCACAGTGGATAGAGTACTAGGCCTAGAGTCAGTAAGACTCATCTTCCTGAGTTCAAATCTGGCCTCAGACACTACCTTTGTGATCCTGGGCAAGTCGTCTGTTTGCCTCAGTTTCCTCATCTGTAAAATGAGCTGGAGAAGAAAATGGCAAACCACTCCAGTATTTTTGCCATGAAAACTCTAATGGGGGGGCAGGTAGGTGGCAAAGTGTATAGAGCCCTGGAGTCAGGAAGATCTGAGTTCAAATGTGGCCTCAGACACACGATACTAACTAGCTGTGTGACTCTGGGCAAGTTATTTAACCCCAAATTGCCTCACAAAACAAACACACAGAAAAACAAAACTCTAATGGCCTCACACAGTCCAACACGACTGAACAACAAAACAAGACTGCCAAGGGTGTCTATGATACATAAAAAGGTTAAGGCACTGTTCTTATATACTTCCCAACATATACCTCCCAAAATACTTCAACGCTAATTTCTGGATAAAAACGTTTGACATTTTTTAAGTGTCTACCCCTACCACAAACCACAGGCAAATGGAAATCTCCCTGTATTCAAACAATGAGGTCCATCCCTAAAGGATTTGCATTGGAAATATTTATTTCTCGGATTGACAATACTGTTACCCAGCTGTTCAAGAGAGGCACACGTGCCTTAATTAAGGAAAACTCCCGTAAAACTATCCTTACAGAATGTAATGACTTACGACGGGGTTTGCAGAGAGCAGTGAAGTGAAGGCCTGACCTTTTAGAATTCGATTTTTATCATGGGCTCTCAAACCCTCTCAGACCCGGGGCCAGGAGCTTAAACCCTGGTGTTTCCTTCTACAGTGGGAGAGAGTTCACGGAGCGGGGCAGATTTTAATTGGGTGGATTGACGGACGGTAGCCAAGAGCCCTCCCACTTTGGGGCCCACGTGCCTGTCACTTTTTTCAGGCGCCAAGGCATGCCCCTGCCCGACCCGTCATGCCCCCAGCCCCACGGTGCGGCGGGCCGGCCGTACCCCCTGCAGCCGCTCTTTAGCCCGGGCCACGTGCCCCTGCAGGGTCTTCTTCCGGAATTCGGGCAGGTTCTCCAAGTACTCGTCCCCCGGCTCGCCGTCGGCGCAGAAGAGCGAGTCCAGGAGCATCCTGGCTCCGCACCTGTCGGCCGCGGCGCTCAGGTAGAGCTCCAGCTGGCGGCAGCGCTCCTGCAGCGCCGCCTCGTCGGGCGCGGGCCCGGCCGGGAAGAGCAGCGCCCACAGGCCCGGGCCGAGCTCGGGGGGCAGCGCGGGGAAGCAGGCCTCCAGCTGCGGGCTCACGGCGGCCAGCTGCCGATGCACGCCCTGCAGCTCGGCCGCGGAGAAGAGGCCGGCCCAGCTAAGCGGCCCGCCCGCCTCGGCCTCGGCCTCGGCCTCGGCCTCCTCCGCCGGGGCCGGCCCCAGGCCCTCGCGGCGCCGCCGCTGCCGCTGCTGCTGCCGCTGCTGCAGGGTCCGGTTGTGACAGGTCACGGCGAACTTGGCCTCGGGCTCGTTCCAGGCCACCATGAAGCGCAGATTGGGCCGCTCGGGCTCCGAGAACAGGTTCTCCTTGACGGCCACCCAACCCTCCAGGCTGTCGAGCCGCTCTTCCGCCATGGCCCGGCCCTGTCCGGGAAGGGCCGCGAGGGGCGCCCCTCACGGGCCGCAGGGCTCGCAGCTAGAGGGCCGCAGGGGCGCGGGGCCGCTCCGCCTCCCCGGGGCCCGCGGCGCCCCGAGCCTGGCCTCGTCTCGCGGTCTCCCGGAGCCGCGGCGAACCGGGAACATTTTCTGCGGGGGCGAGGCGTCCCCCAAAGCCGAATCACCCTCCGCCGCCGCCCCTCCCATTGGCCGAAGCATGGTCGCCGGTACTCCTCCCACGGGCGGGGGAGGGGGGTGCGGGAGGGTCACCCTCCGCCGCCGCCCCTCTTATTGGCCGAGACACTTCCGCCAGAGCCTCTCCCATTGGCCGAACCAGGGCGCAGGGGCGGAAGAGGGGCGGGTGCAGTCTCAGCTCTGCGATGAAACTGCGGGAGTAGAGGTAGGGGGCGGAGCCATGCCATTGGGGGCGGGGCCAGCTTCTGGGTCTGGTGGCATTACAAATGTCCTCTTCCAATATTTAGTCTCCCCCCCTCCCCCTTTCCCCCATCCCCAGGCCCTTTACAATTTCCAATTGTAGGATCATAAATCATTAACACAGACTTGGGACTTAAGATGCCATCTGGTCCAGTCCCCCCATTTTATAGATGAGGAAAACTGAGGTCTGTGGAGGTTGAGTGATAAAACTTAGACCTGGGAAGCCTCTTACGAGCTGCTGAGTTCAGTCGTTTTTCAGTCTGATTCTTCATGACCCCATTTGCAGTTTTCTTGGCAAAGATACTGGGTTGGTTTGCTGTTTCCTTCTCCAGCTCATTTTCCAGATGAGGAAATTGAAGCAAACCGAGTTAAGTGACTTGCCCAGAGTCTTGCACCTAGTAAGTGTATGAGGACAGATTTGAACTCAGGAAGATTCCTGACTCCTATGCACTCTGCCACTTAGCTGCCCATAGAGGCCACTGTGATGGATATAAAATCTGGTCTCTGTCCTCAGACACTATAGCCTAACAGGGAAGGCTTGTGTGTAGGCACTCTCTAACTCAGAATCCTAGAATGCTGAGGCTGGGAGGGCATTAGGAGCTCATTAGGGCCTAGGCCAACTCTGTTATTTTACAGATGAATAGACTGAGGTAGGAAGAAGGGAGAGGACTTGTTCAAAGTCATTTTCAATCAATAAAAGCCTACTATATACCAGATACCGCTAAGTGCTGGGCATACAAAAAGAGGCAAAAGACAGCCCCTGATGTCAAGGAGCCTGCAATCTAATGGGAGAGACAATATGCAAACAAATATGTACAAAGCAAGCAGCATACAGGATAAATAGGAAATAACATAGGGAAGGCACTGGAATTAAGAGGGATTGGGGGAAGGCTTCTAATAGAAGGTGGGACTCTGGTTTGGACTTAAAGGAAGACAGGGAGGTCACTAATTGTAGCCATGGAGAGAGAGTGTTCCAGGCATGGGGGATAGCCAGAGAGAATGTTGGGAGCTGGAAGACAGAGTGTCTTGTTTGTGCAACAGCCAGGAGGCCAGGGTCCCTGGATTGAAAAGTATATGTATGGGAGTAAGGTGTAAGAAGACTGGAAAGGTAGTGATGGGGTGCTTGGGTGCTTGTGCTTGTTCTTGGACCCCAATTTCTCCTTAGTCTCAGAAACCCTATCTCTGACAACCACTCCCCAGCCCAAGGACACTGTGCCTAGCAGTTATTCGTGCGTGGGCCCCAGCATGACCTTTATCTCTCTCCCTGGTGCAGCTACACAAAGCTGGGTGAGAGAGTGCTGGGCTGCTCAGGCTCCAGCCCTCAGATCATGTCTCTGGAAGCCTCCCAATTCCTTAGTAAGTTCCTGTCTTGTGAGAAAGCTTTCCCTTGTTGCACAGCATTGTCTAATCAAGACAGAGGGAGAGGAGTGCCTTGCCCAGCCCAAGGAGTTTTGTGCTTGGCTGGCCCAAGGACTCCTCCTCCTGCCAGACTCCCAAGATCCGCACCTCTGTCATCTCCCTCCCTGTCTGGTATACTCCCTGTACTTTCTCATCCATTGCTCTCAAAGACACCTGCACCTTTGGATTACCTCATCAATGTCCCTGGCATTCCTTTCCCATGCCCCTTTCCATATAAACCCTAGCTCCATCCTCAGTCTCTCAAAGGTTCCTTAAGAATCCTTGTCCGCTGAAAAGCGTAACAATAAATCTTTGCCACCTTGACTTCAAGAATGCTTGAGTCTGTGAATTCATTCCAGACGACCCCATCCAGTACTCCAGTCTTTGAGGGGTCTCAACCTCTCAGACCACAACAGTAGGAGGGGACTGCTAGGTTATGAAGGGCTTTGAATGCTAAGATAATAGCAGAAAAATTTACTATAGCTCACCATCCCCCAGTATTAGAGCTGGTTTCAGTTGACTCTCTTAGACCAGAGCTACAGAGGTTATCAACCCTCCCTAGAGTCTTTTTTGAACTAGATTCTTTTCTGAACTCAAATTCTTTTCTGAACTAAATGGTTCCTGAGGCCCCTGATGCAATTCACCATGATCAGGTGAGTTAGTACCGAAGGACATCGGACGGAAGGAGTACCTGGTCTTTGATGGGGAAGCAAGAGATTCTGGAACACTAAGACACTGAAAACTGGAAAGGATAATACAAGCCACTCTAGGTCGCCACTTTCTTAGCTACCAGAGTGCATAACTGAATCTATCTCCCTTCTCCCCATCATGGAGTGGAAGTTGCCTTGCTCTGGTCCCTCTCTCTTCCAATATTTTAAAAAAATTATCAATGTTTTTTAAAAAAAATCAACAATGTGATCATTAATTTCCAACATCTCCCGCCACCCCCTAAAGAGAACTATGTGCCCTGTAAAAAAAAAAAAAAGTAGTTGTATAAAACAAATCTACTCGTCTCCCAAGTAGATTACTTTGACAAGTAAACAAGGGACTTGCCAGCTCTGACTCACTCTCCTCCCATACAAATATCCTCTCTTTCTCTTTCTGTTTCTCTTTCCATAAATCTAGATTCCACTTGAAATTGATGCTTTGTGAGTGAAACTGCATGATGTGAATGTGAAAAATGCCAAAAGAGAATTATTATTGCTGAGACGGTCCCCACCTACAGTACAGCAGTTGAGACTCTGGATTCCCTGATCAAAGGGGTTACTTCCCAACAGCCTTCAAATATGGAACTTTCTGTTTTACAGCACCCCATCTCCCACGAGATCCCCAACTTCCATGTGCTTTCTTGAATAGAATTCAGGTGATCCTGCAACCTAGGAACTGAGGCTCAGAGCTGTTATTCTAGTAGCGCTGAGGGTTTTTTCAGCGAGGTGATTTGTCCATAGCCATCTCCTTATCTTGAGGCCAAAGGTATCTTTGTAAATCAGTTTCAGTTTTTGTTTTGCCCAGTTTTTTTTTTATGTGACCTTTCTGATAGTCCCACTTTTGCCCTAGTGAGATCTTATCTGGAGTATTACGGTCAGTATTAAGACCACTGATAAGCTGCAGAGTGTCCAGAGCAAGGCATACAGGATGGTATAGGGTAATGGCTCTTAACTTAGGGGCCATGCATAGATTTCAATGTAATTGGTTTCCTTTGTAATCCTATGTATTTTATTCTAGGCATTTAAAAACTCTTTTGAGAAGGGGTCCATAGGCTTCACCAGACTGTCAAAGAGGTGAATGGCACAAAATAGTTAAGAAGCCCTGGTCTAGGACTTCAATTTCATGCCAATGAGGATAAGTTGAAAGAAATGGAGTTATATACTTTCAATTTATAGAAACAACTTAGTAAACAAGAACTAGTTAAAATTAGAAGCTACCAGATAGTTTACTTTTTTCTTCTTCTTCCTCATGGCCGCACCAAAGGTGAGTTTCTTCCTGGCTCAGTGCCATCTTCCCTATTCTCCCTCCTCTGAGTGGCCTCTCCTCCTGGGGCTGTGCCACTGCATGGTAATATCTCTCCACTAACGGGCCCTGGTGTCTCAAGGTCCAAAGTCTCCTTACCCACCCTCAGATGATTTTAATCCAAGAATAAGAACTGCTGGTTATGGCTCTGGTTGAAGACATTGTAAAGCCATGTCTGTCCTTAAGCATCTTCTCTCAATCTTTCCAGGTATCCTTTCCTTCTTTCCCACTGAGCATGAAATTCCTCAAGTTACCATTAGTTGTAGGCTAAATAACAGTAGTGGAGGTATGGTCAACACTGAAAATGCACAAGTGAAGAAGATAAGTGTCACCCAACTGATTGGTTTTGGTGCCCAAACTGGATCCCAGGTCTCATGATTCCCAATCAACAAATTCAATAAACATTTATTAAGTACTTGATGCCAGGCACTGTGTTAGGGTCTGGGGAACACAAGGACAGAAAAAGAAAAAGTCCTCACCTTCTAGCACCTTAGAAAAATTCAGTGTATTTTCTACTTTCACCAAACATTATTTCTCTTGTTATATGCTCTTATACCTTACCCCCTATATCTTGCCCCCTTTAGACCTCAGCCCAGTCTGGGTCACCATGTGGGTGGTAGAAATTGTTAGATGACATGAATCACAGTGTGATGTGGATGTCCACTTTTGCATTAAAAAAAAAATGGAATGCACTGCCTCTGTATTAGTGAGTTCCTTGGCATCCAAGACATTCAGGAAGAGGTTTGAATATATATCTCATAATTGTTCAGCCATTCTACAATTGATGGACATTCACTTTCTTTCCAGTTCTTTGTTATAACAAAAAGTGCTAGTATAAATATTATTTGCATGTGTTTTTGCATAAACCTGCCATATTTTTGTATAAGCATATGTCATATTTTCTGAAGGTCCTTTCCTTCTTTCTTTCATCTCTTTAAGGTATAGGCCTATCAGTGGCATCACTGATTCAAAAGGATATACAGTTTAGTGACATTTTGAGTACAGTTCCAAACTGCTTTCCAGAATGGGTGACTCTAGAGATAGCTCTACCAAGAGGGGACAAATGCCTCTCCTACATTGTCACTTCCTTTCTTTTTTTGGTCACGTTTGACAAGCTGATTGGTGTGAGCTGGAAACTCAGCGTTGTTTTAATTTGCATTTCCCTTAT